CCCCCCCCCCTCCACCCCCTTCCAGCCTCTGTAAATCTGCACGGAGATCCACTCCCGACATCAAAACAGCAAGCTTTCCAGAGTCCTGCCTCCTCCCTGCTTACAACATATTACAGCAAAACAGCAAGTCATCTTTAAATGGCCCAGGTTACAACATATTACAGAATTGCCCAAAATAAAGTGGATCTATCAGCTCCCTGCTTTGCTAGAGTATCCGCCATGCTATTGATTTCCTTTTGACCCAATCAAAGCTGGAACTGAATTTTCTTGCTAGTGAACCAATTTTTCTGAAGATGAGCCTCAACTTTCAAGGTGCTAAGTTGATTTGTTTTGCCCAATTTATGACTAATAGTGAATCCCCTTCAATTTCCATCTCTCTTACTCCCAACTTCTCTGCAAATTTCAAAGATGTACTTCTTTCTTTTACTAATAAATTTTCTTTTTTATTTATTACCAAAAAAAAGCCTCCAGATATAAGCACCATCTATACTATTACCAAAGAAGGTTTGAAGTATCAACGTGTATCATATTCTATCAGGCATACCATATCAGTATTTATTGTAGAACTTTGTTAATAAAATTAAGATCAGAAGAGTACAAACAATCCAAGCATTGCAAGTAGAATCGCAAGGTGCAGCCTCGCACAAATATAAGCATCTCTGTCAATCCATTTGCCGATCTTCTTTCCCATTGGATCCTCGCCACCATATTGGAAGTTAGCCACTTAAATCACTTTATGTCCTCTCTAAAAGTCCAAATTACTGAGTCTGGGTCTTTCAGCCAGCCAACTACCAGCTTAGAATCCCCTTCAAGATCAATCTGTTGAAGCTCCAATCCCTTGCTAAACTTAACCCCTTGCACAACTGCCTAGAACTCTGCTTTAATGGAACCTCTTACTCCTGATGGACCCAAGAATAAAGCAATGATGCTTCCTTCATTATTTCTGAATACTCCCCCAATGGTCCCGGGTTGCTTTGGCAGCTTCCACAAAATTTAATTTTAAGAAACCCTCTTCTGGAGGTGACCAACTTGGGAAATTTAAATGGTTTTAAATGTTAATGCCCATCATCAGTTATCCATCTGTGAGTTATTATCCTGAAAAAATATATATAAAAAAGAGTATTGCACCTTGGAAATTGCATGATATTCAACACTTGCATATCATGTGTATCAATATTTTAAAACCTTGTTAACAAAACAAGTAAAAAGATAATGTTGTTCCAATCATTGAAACATTGATCAAATTCAGGCCTTGGAATTCCTCCAAGATAGAAGATCAAAATTAAATGAGATATTCTGCTTTGCCTAACTGACCACCTCTTTCATTAAAACCCCAGTTGTTTCTCTTGTTCTATATGCAACAGCACAGTACAAAAGGCATGAAGTTCCTTGGGTTGTTCCGCTGCTTGTCAAACCCCTTTAAGAGCCACATGTTAATGAGGGATGAGATGCTACTTGAAATATTCACTGGCATGCCACTATAACACAGTAGAGAAAAGGCAATGAAGCAACAAATAAGCCACCAATTCAGGGGAGGTGCCAGACAACGAAGATATATCATTAACATCTCTCCCCCTGGAAGGAAGTGCTTTTAGTCAAATTTCAAGATTTGGATTGGCTTTAGAGGCCATTTGTGGAAGAGGAAGTTTTACAAGCTCTGTCCAATATGTAGAGATAAAGACCAAGGACCAGATAATTATGGATACAATTCCAGATTTTACAGAAAATGCTCACATATAGACCTACAGGGTTTCATGACATTTAAGTTATGTTTGGTTTGATAGAAAATAAGAGAGAAATAGAAAGTTGGGTCCTTTTGAACTTTCTGTCAATTCCTGTTTTCTTTTATTTTCTATCAAACCAAACACAGCCTTATGGAAGAGCTTCAAACTCCAGCATGCTGCATCTAAGTTTTAACATTTACAGGGTACAAGTCAAAGCACATCCAATGATAGATTGCTGAAGTTCATCCATCAAATAAAATAGATCGTTTAAATTCATCTAACTCACCATGGACAATGTTATGCCTTCCAGAGCTTGACTATGAAGGAAGACATCACGAAAATTCATTGGCTCACCACCTAATTCAGAGTCATAAAACAGAACCTATGACAATGAATGAAGTACATAGGATCAGCAGCCTAAACAAAGGGATGAAGAGAATTCATAATTTTTTTTAAATTTCATACTCTTCCAAATGAACAAGCAATAAGCATAATACAACGCCATGCACAAATTACTCCAAAAAGAGATTGCATTACTATTGTAAGACATCCATGACAGGCAAAGCAAACCTCGTTATCCAACAAGGATAATATTCTTTGATTCCACTTGAGTGTTGGAATCAAGCTCTATTTTACTGGACTATGTCCACTAAAATCTGATTCAACTATCCACAAGGCAGAGACCACGTTATGGACCCAAGAAAAAAAGTCAGGAATTAGAGATAAGTCATTGACCAATGCATTTAAGAATGCATACAAGAATGTAAAAACTTAAAAGCTTCTTACAAGAAACTTTATTATGTGGTTTTCATGCATTTTGTGTCATCAAAATGAAACATGAGATAACAAATAAGTGTTCATAAAACTGAGTTACAACTACAAGGTCTCCAATTCTATATATCTCCTTTTAAACTCATTGTAGTCAAGTGCTTTTCTTGGATCAGTAACATCATAATTTTGTTTAAATCAGAAATTATAAAGGTGTACAAGGAATTACAGAAAAAGAGAGCTATCACCCCTTCCGCCGGCTGAGAAAGAGAGCAAATAGCCCCACTGCTGCTCTTCCCCACATACACCGATCTCAGATAATCAACAGAAAGAAAAACATTAGATCAGGGTGAGTTCCTCAAAAGAAAGGCCATCTACTGATTCCTCCATCAGTCCAGCTAGAGCATTTGCATGTGCATTTGCTGATATAGGAAGTAGGAACCCAGTAGAAACTAGCAATTGAACTATAAGAAAAGGCTCTAGCCTCCCTGATCTGGTACAAATTAGATCAGTTTGTTTACACCCGTGAGCAGCATGTCAAAACTGACAATTAATAACAAGATGAACTGTACAGAAGTAGATAATGCAACCCTCAGTCAGTCACAGTTTTCAAAGAGCCAAGGCAAGGCTGGGTGACAGGGGGGCACCTTGTTGCCTAGTCAACTAGGCAATGGATTTTTTTCAAATAAAAGGCATGAACCTTAGGGTAGTTCCCTAGGTTCCATAACAACTAGCAACCATCTTTCATAAATAATTATCTATAATCTTCACAAAAAAATATAAATTCATATTAAAATCTAGAAAATTAACATATTCATGATAAAAAAGAAGAAAGAAAAGTGAAGTCAGAAAACATAGGGGCTGAGCCCCTGTTTTTGTCCTAGGAAAAGACGAAAAGAAAAGGTGGAAGAAGAAGAAGAATGTGATGATTGGTCAAAATTTTAAGCCGTTCCTTCCTTAACAAATAAGAACATGTGTGTTGATTGAACCCTAACAAATAAGAAATAATAAAAAGAAGCCAGTATATAAAAGCACAAAATAAATATCTAGTTTAATAGTCTATTTTATTATTATAATCTCAAATTCTGCCATGTACAAATTAGCTTGGCAATTAAGCGAGGTGACCCTTCATAGCACGTTACGGCACCTTGTCGCCTAGGCACGTCTTGACAACCATGGCCAGTCAATAGAACAACCCCTCTCCAACACCCATCAACGATAAATATCAACTCCCCCTACTGCCTCAATGCAACAGGACCACTGAAAGATGCTTCCCTACAACCCCCTTTCTAGCCAATGTATCTGCCACGGGGTTATAAACCTTGGGAGCCCATCAGAAAGAGAAGTTCATTCTAGAGGCCAAAAATATAGTCTCTGTAATATGATGTTTAAGAACCAAAGGTCAAATCTTCCCCTTCATCCATCTTATGACCACTTTGGAATCTCCTTCACTTCCAAAGACAGCTTTCTTATGATATTGCAAATTTAAACCCAAGAGTAAGGATAGCATCTCAACTTTACTGAGGTTCCCATGCCTTTGGGCCGTCAATATGCCAAGATAGTAGTCCTTTTATAGCTGTTAAGGTCTCCTCGAACACCAATGGCACGGATTGCCAAGACTGCATCCTTCAAAATTTAGCTTCAAGACGCAAAACTAGGGTCGCTGCCACTACTGTACAAACCTCACCCTATGGAATGAGGATGAAACAACGGTGTTTCAATTATTCATGGCACGTTCCCAATGAACTAGTCTTATAGTGCCTAAATCAATCAACACCTCTTGGGGCTGTTCCTTGTCTATGAAAAATCCATATTTTCTTTCTTTTCAAACTGCCCACAACAGAGCAACCATCGAATACCCCCACAATATCCTCCCCCTTCTTTTACTAGAGAAAAACATCTTGTTTGAAAAGGCTATCTACATCTGTAAGCTGCAACCACCTAGAACCAAACAAGGAAAACACATGCAACCGAATGTTGATGACTTAAGGACCAGAAATTAGCAGGTGACAAATAGAATCGTTACTTATTTCATAATGTAGCACATGTGGGGTGAAAGATATCAAGGTCTCCCCCTTTGAAGAACATCACAGGTATTGACTTCCAGTATCATCTCCCAAGAAAAAAGCCCTTCTTCTGAGAAGGTATAGGCTTCATTGACAAATTATTCTGTATAGTACATAGTTTCTATTTCAGCTGATAAAGACAACTAAGGAATAGATGGAATATACAAATCAAAACAGAATATTAACATGTTCAAAGTTTTTACATCAGGAAAGTATAAATTAAGCCAGTAAAAAACGCTTTGACTTTGTAGTAGCAGTTCAAAAGGCAAAGTCAAAAATAAATAAATAAATAGCAAAATGTGTTTGCTCACCATGGGGGGGTTTTTTGGAGAGCTGGATTCATCAGAAGCAAGATGCTGATCAAGAACCTTTTCTTTGTCATCAATAGAATTTCCAGATAATTTTTCGATTTCTTTAAGTGCAAACAACCACCTTCTCAATAATTGAATTCTTTCTAGCCCCCTACAAGAAATAGAAACCTCTTCCAATCTTTTCACAGTATGTTTAAAGCTTTTGAAATTCCTGGACCCCTGAAAAATTTGCAAGACAATATTACAAAGGTAAGATATTGAAGAAACTAACCAAGTATAAGTTAAAAAAACACTAGTCATAACATGGTTCACAACATCAGAAAGAATATGTCTGTAACAATAAAATGGGTGGGGAGATTAGCAAAATCTTTGGCTGGTGGCTTAGTTAAGCAAGGGGCAAATAGGGAAGTAATGTTTTGGGCTCAGCTGTAATGTTTGTTCTTTTTTTCTAGTCTCTTTGCAATCTGTTGGGAGAGGCTGCAGCTCGCACATCTTCAAGGGCTGTTGTATCAGTTTAAAGTTCTGAATTAATAAATTATCTTTTTACTCATCAAAAAAATATCAGCAAGATTGGTGAAATTTCCCTGGAACATCCTCACTTTGCTAGGGGGAGATATGAATGCCAAGAATCTTTTTTTTCCTAATATCTCCAATATCAGCAATATTTCAAATTTCATTGATAGACTATATATTTGAGGTTTAAATATTTGAATATTATAAGAAATTTTTCAATATTTCTTTGAAATCATCATAATTTTTTAAAAACCTTTAACTAAAAGAATAATTTGGCTTACTATTTTGATATGATTCATTTGCCAAGTCACTACAATTCAAAAGAAAAAGGAAAAATGGTACAAAACAACAAAAGATTATCTCAATCTAATGAAAAAGTATGGTAACAAAAAAAGAACAAAGTCAAAATGGCAAGTAAATGACATACATAATGAAGAAAAGATGGTTAAAAGACTAAAAGAGAGACATACCTATTTAAGTCACTTAATCTTCTCTTACTTAATTTATCCATTTTTTTCTATGCTTTTTTGAGCCTTAAATGTGCAATTATGCTTCTTTTAGTGATTACTTGAAGGCTTATAACTTATTTCATGTTTAAAAAAAAATCCTGATTTCATTAGATTTTCCAAATATCTTAGTAAAATCAGCAAAATATCCCCAAAATTTCCCAATCTCTGCATGGCAATACCCATGATATCGAAATTGAGAACCGTCATCAATAGAACAAAGCAAAAATACAAAAGACTGATTAAGAAAGGAACAATTTATTTAAATTTTAGATAGTAGCAAAGCTGATAAATATTACATAGATTTGAAACTACAAGCAAAATTATATCAAAAGAAAAGAAAAGATAGACAGACAGACAGACAGACAGACAGACAGACAGACAGACAGACAGAGGAGGAGGAGGATGCATAAAAAGCATAGTCCAATAGAATCAACCAAAGAACAGAACTGAAGGGTAAAAATACAAAGAGGATAGTACCACACTATCTCTCCTTCTAAGAACCCCACCCTTTGCAAAAGATTCTGCCCATTCAGCCACATGGGTGCAAGACATTAACACAATGTACAAGTCATGAATTTCTTTAGTGAATGAGAAAATCTCCAATTAACCTTCTTGTTTCTTAATGGCAAACTGATGCAACAACATAGACCAGACTAAGAGAGACTAGAACACCTTCCAACAATGAGCTTGTTTGAAGTTTCTGAAATCACTCCACTAGAACAGTCTAACTGGTTCTTGGACCAGCTTGCTCAATCAGGTTGACAGTTTAAAGAGACCATCATGGTGGCTTACTTAAATAAAAGCTCAAATCAGTTTCATTAACAAGAAAAAAGCACATTTAGTGCTTGAGGGAGGATATCAGTGGCCATAGAACTTTAAACAAATAAAAACAATTTTAAGAGAAAGTTTTCAATATGAATCCATTCTTCATACGTCTAACTCAACAATTCAACTTAATTCACTAAGAGCAAGTTAGCCTATATGATAAACAAAATTCATATTACTTTGCATGCTACTTGCCACAGTGGTTCAAATAAGGAAACAACATAACAAGCCACAGAACACTTCTAAATCCGCATGCTCACAAATTTAACTAATATAATTAAAAACTTGCTAAATTTAAACAAAATTAATGACTAAATTGTATCTGCATATCATCTCAATTACTCAAGTGGATGAAGAAAGAGTTGCTGTATATGATGCCACAAGACACCTTTTAGAAGGTAGCACAGGAATAGATCTATTGGTGCTGAGGATTCACTATAATTAGAAAATGTGAATGTCCAATAAAGAAGATCAAAATTTTTTCATAAGAGAGGACATACTTTAACCAGGTGGCAGATGGCATCATAGGTTTGGAGTTGTTTCTTCTCCCTCTACAGGAAGGATTGATTTAACTATACCAGGTTAAACAAAAAATGGCAAATATACCAGTCCAATTGAGGATTCTTTGTAAATTATGGGAAATTCTATCATATGAGACAGAGAGAGAGAGAGAGGATTGCATTTTGTGGTTTTTCTCTGACATGCAAGACATAAGTGGGGAATATTTTTGTGAAAGAATTATTAGACAACTGCATATAATGCTCAAGCAATACATGCAATAAATATACAGGGGAAGCATAGAAAACATGCATAAATATTTTGTAATAAATCAATGAAAAGCTTCATTAAATAAAAATGATTATAATAGTGTATAGGGTGATGAACTAGGACCTATACATCAAAATAAGCTAGAAAAAGAAAATTGACATAACTAAATATTTAAATTTGCTCCATCAAAATACAATTCTATAGTTCCCAAAAAACCCATGCCAAAAGAAGCCCTCTCCATATAAGTTCTCTCCACCCCTGAAAAGTTTGGTAACATCAAAACCAATCTATAATCATGTTTCAATATCTGCACACCACTCGTCATTATTCCTTTTATTTATTTATTTATTGATTGATAGATGATTGATTCATTGATTGAAGAAGGAGAAGTATTGAATTGAATTATGATGAAAACCAATAACATCAGCCCATGTACAATGAGAGCTTGTACAATGGGGATATACAAAAAGACTCAACGAAAAAAGGTCCAGATTGCAAAAAGATAAAAGCTGGGCACCATTGGAAGCCCTTTGTACACTTAACCAGAACTCAAAAAGCCTATAACCTTGTTTCTAACTGAAGCTAGATCAGAACAGTTGTTTCAAAGAGTCTTTCTATATCTTTTTAATTCAAATCCCCCAACATATTGCAAATGGAACACAAATCCCTCCGTTTCTTAATCACATTAGGTATGATCACTTTCCTAATAATAAAATTAGATTCTAAGAAAACCTTTGGATTGAAAATTTTCGATTAAAGGACTATACCCTTCTATTTTCTCGCTCTCTACCCTTAAAGGTAAGTCAATATCTGAGTTTGTTGTCCCATCTAATTCTTTTATTCTGGATTTGACTGGAATTTGGACCGCAAAAAGAATCTTTGAGATTGTAAAATCACATCCATGTCTGATCTTGTGCAAATCCTTGCAGGGGTGTTTCTTGATCCTAGTTGGTATGCTTTTCCATCCATTTATAAATATCCTTTTAATTTAGCTTATGGTCACAGATATCATTATCATAAACTGGATTGGTATGGTTCAGACTAGATAGATATGGGTATGTTTAAGCACCTAGTCTATCATTAACAAAATTCGAAGAGAATCAAATCAGCCAATTTGAATTTGTTTAGATCCTTGATGTTTCACACATGGATGAATAAACAGGTAGGCAGTAAAAAAGTAAGGTGTAAAGCCGAATCAATAAAATCATGAACAGGATGATAGTTTCAGAGTTTTTTTTTGGTGATGATAGTTTCAGAATTAACATTCCAATAATACTCAAGTCTGCAAGTTCAAGTTAAAACCTAAATAATAATCTTAATCCATGGGCTTAGATAAGTTATAATGGAATATCGCCAAGTGGATATTATCTTCGTGTTTGCTTGGCATCCTTTTTCCTCATCACTCAACTAATTGTCCTTACATACAAAATTACCATTTCACATCCGTCTCACTTAACTACAGGTTCTAGTTAACACTTTGGCATCACTATGCTAAAAGGTAACCACAGTTAGGCAGAATAGCAGTGGAGATTAGTACAGTAAAACATAAAATACACCTGTTGTCAATCAACCTTAATGGATGTACTAAATGAACTATAACAAACAATTGATCCACCAAACTTGTGACAGAGAGATTTTCAAGAAATCCCAAGCTATACTATTTTGAATGGATTTGTTAAATAATTTAAGGATATTCAAAACATCTGTCATGATGAAAGACGCATAACAAGACAAAGACTCAAAACCCACTCCAACTTTCAGCTTATGCCAATCCAAGAGGATCAATTCGTTGCAACATCTCTGGGCTTGTATCAGAAGCTAAATATAACCTATGTCATGCCAAATATTGACCAGGAATATTTCAAGGTTCTGTCAATAAAAAGAATAGCTTCAGTATTTCAAGATCTGGAATTCATATGAAGGTGTCATCAAGTGACTACAAACATAGAATGCAGTATAATGCAAGAATAAGGTGGAGGAGTGGTAGAGTCCTAGTTTTCATGAGGAAACACAAGAGAGAAAGAGAGAGAGAGAGAGAGAGAGACAGAGAGAGACTGATGTGGAAACCTTCAACTGATATGGAAGGAAGATAACTAGTTCTCTGCTTTGGAGATGCCTATCTTCATTCAATTTCCTTCAGTTCCCCATAGTGAAATAAAGTCTCATTTTCGCAAAATAAGTGGGGAGGTCTTATTCAGTTTCCCTATTGGACTGGAAAACAAACTGACAGAGGAGAGTTTGCACAAGTTGGAGGATAAATTGGTTTAGATGGAAATGTGATTCCCCACGTGAGATTTTTCTTAACTTGTTTCTAAAAAAAATCCAAACAAGTAGGAGACTTTGAGGGGATAGGGAAAGGCAAGGAGACCCTCTGATGTGGAAGTTGTCCTAAAGTGTGTGTGTGGGGAGAGAGAGAGAGAGAGAGAGAGAGAGAGGTAGGTGGCCTTTAATTGATTGATTTATGGTTATTATTAACACGGTTCATCACCTAAATGGTAAGGATCATTTTTCTTTTGGTGCTTGCAGCAGTGATCTTTAATCAGATATGACAAAGGTATTGATAGTATCACTTAAATGCTTTGAAAATGTAAAAAATGGAAGTAATTAATGGACTTCAGATAAATAATTTGAGAATACGGATCAAAATTAATGGACTTTACATAAATAACTTAAGAATACAGGTATCAATGTGTTTAGACCATAAATTAAGAAAGCGAAAGGAATTTCAAAAGAAACGTGGGAAAATTTATCATGAACCAATACTGTGATAGGACGAGAAGTAACAAAAGATATCAAATACGAAAACCTAACAGCAAGAAATTGAATAACCGAAGCTGAAAACGGCGCGCGCATTTCATCAAATTACCAAAACAAATTTGGATATATAAAATTGAATAAAAAAATATCATAACATTGTGGCAAAATTGTTAATTCACCAGCAACTGACGGCTTAAAACTTAAGAGTACAAGTGAGCTCAAATTGGTCTAACAAAAGAGATTAAGTAAAAGCATAAACAGAAAATAAAACAAGAAGCAGAGAATAGGGAACTTAGCGATAGGGAGATTAGAAGATTACAATGCGATCCTGCAAAAGCTTGGCACCCTCAGCAACAGCTTGACCGGCATGTTGGACGACGGAATCGGCGTAGCTCCTGACGGTACGTGTAAGGTTGTTCTTGCCGCCGACCTCGACAGCTTTGCTCACTGCGGATCTCAACCACGACATAGTAGCCTCTGAGTGTTATGGGAAAAATTAGGGTTTGTCTATGGAACGATTAAATTGCAGAGGGGTGATTAGGTAACACGGAGAGCTCGAGAGAAAAGAAAGTCTGTTGGTGTAGATTGATGGCAGTGATGGATTTCTAACTGTCAAATGAGAACAAGCAAGGGAGAAGTGTGGGGTCGGTGTGATGGGAGAAGGTGAGTTTGCATTGCATCTGCCATCTAGAAATCCAGATGGCATTGGCGTGTGTGTTGGGGCCTTGGGGGGGAGAGAGAGAGAGAGAGAGAGAGAGAGAGAAAGAGTCAGCGTCTTCGCTTCCCCGATATTTTTTCAACGTATTGGGCTTTGGGAGTTAGTGCCTTGGCCTTGTATTTCGATTTGAGTAATTCACTGGCTAGCTAATTATAAACAAACACTTCGCGCAAACTTCTACTGTACTTAACATCAACAATTCGACTTCGGATTTGCTACTAACACCCAATCAAAAATAAACACGTCACTAACGAAATAAATACGTCGCTCATCATTCTAAAATCTAAAGAAATAAAGAAATAAAATCCCAAAGGAGCTCCAATTTCTTATTAACTTTTATTCCATTACGGGTAATGTTGCAGCTTGTAAAAAGCAGAATTTTACAATCAAATGATGGATCTGATTATATCTTATCCTCTATGTTAACTTAATTTTTTTTTTTTTTTTTTTGGCTTCGTGGGGCTGCAACCCCCCTCTCTTTTAACCACCCCAACCCTCGTGACAATGCGATTTGATCCCAAAGACTCACTCAAACGAATCAAATATCCTACCAGCTAGGCCACCAAATCAGTCTGCTAATGGTTTAGTGCTTGAGTTTTTTTAGAGCTAGTTCCCATTACTTTACAAATTGCTCACACAAATCTAAAACACATACATGAATTCATTATTATGAATTAACATATTTAAATTTAAAAACGTATAATTTAATATCGAATTTGACTTAACTATGTATCAAATATATTGGTCAATATCAGTCAAATGGCGCATCAGGCTACAGTTTAACTCTTGCCTTGATCGTGAAGTATATTATTTATATGTGATAAAATGGAAATTATATTAAAAAAATTGGGTACATATATAGCAAAATTCTACAACCTACCTTCATGGTTACTTTATTGTGTTATCCCTCCCGATTATCATTTGGAGTTTAGGGTTTTACTTTTCCAACCCTTCTTTTAAAATGCCATCATGTTATGATCGATTTCATCAATTACACCAGCAACATGTCATTGGAGTGTCAACGGGGGCACTGTACAAATTTTGCATTGCGAGGGTGCCAATGGTAATATTGTATCAATATTTTGATATATCCTAATGTCAAATCCCCAAAAACTTAAATGACTCTTTAAAAAGGAGATAAGTAATCAAAAAGGAACTTATGGATTCATCAACTTATGCGTATACATGATTCATTAATGCATATGCATGCGACATGCATATAGTTGATTCATTAATGCAATATAAAGTACCTTTTTACTAATTGTTTTGGTAAAATAACAAAACTTTTACACCAAATTCTAGATACTTATAATAGAGAAAGTTCAAGAAAAATTTGCAGATTTGTGCTCATTTTCCTTATAAATAAAATAAAGTTTGAGATGACAAGATTGCATATGCTTTTGGTGTTTATAAATGATGATTCTTTTAATCTTTATATATTAATATCTACAATTTCAAATCAACCAAATTAGCTTATTTTGCACTCTGAAAACAAAATAGCAAATTAAAGTTCTATTTGGTACCATTACTATTTTCTTACCTGCTGAAATGTTTTGAAATGATGGATACAAATTGGTGAAATATCTTTTGTCACATTACACATAAAAGTCACATAAACTAAAAAATGCAAGCATGGGGAATATTCTCTCTCTCTCTTACGGCAACACAAAGTGGCTTATGAATGTCAAATCCATTTCGATCAAAAGTCCATGTCGGGGCACCCCGATCAAATTCTTCCTACACGCCTTCCCTCCTCAGCGTCCTCAAGAAACTAATGAATTTATCTCACAACGTGGTTATCAAGAAAGAATGCCTTTATTCTATTAAATACAATCGTGTATGTCCAAAACCTTGGAGGTGCTTGTGTTAGGATCCATTTGTCCCATGTTGGTAGTATAGGATGCTAATGTGAGATATCCCATATCGGTAGTATGGGATGCTGTTGCAGGGTATATATGTGATTGAGTTCCCTCCCTTTAATAGCTAGCTTTTAGGGGTGAATTCTCCTAAGGCACATAACAAATGGTATCAAAGCCTACACTATGCCTCCCAGTTGCAATCAAGGTTCAAAATATCGATAGGCCCGGCATATCGAGCGAATCGATACAGTGTTTCAGGCTTTTTTTTTATTTTTTTGCAACCGGTTCGAAGGGGCCGGTTTAAGTCTCCTATACCCCCTGAACCGGTCAAATCTCCGATACACCCACTGTAGGGGCATATCAGAGGGGTCTCGGAACGATACATATCAACCAATACGGGCCGATACGTATTGATATTTTGAACCTTAGTTGCAATCGTGCAGCACAAATGATGACATCAGTATTGCAGTGTTCAACCGAGACTAGGTGGATTAATGCAAAGCCAACCTGCATGGGCGCCGAGACTGTGGAAGCGTGATGGGATATTCCAATCCATTTGTCCCATATTAATAGTATGGGATGCTAATGTGAGATATCACACATCAGTAGTATAGGATGTTGTTGTAGTATATATCTTTTAGGGGTGAGTTCTCCTAAGGCACATAACAGTTTGCTACCGCAGTGTTGGGTTGGGATTGAGTGATACAAATTTGTATGAGAGATCTTTCTACTTAAAATGTTTTTTATTGATCAATAAATATTGATATTTCTACCTAAACGTCAAATATGATGCTTCTCACATGCATTTTTCTAGTTGAAATGACAATTGACAATCATATATGAAGTGACAATACAATACATTTCTCACAAATTTGTATCGACCCACCTAAAATGCAACAGCGACCCATTGCCACGGTACCATACACCCCCTTTATAAGGGGATCAAGATGACATCAGAAGTTGAAATCGATTAGTGGATGTTGGCCGTGAAAACATTCTCTGGATTCCCAGGTCTGTCTAATCGCACATGTCAGTAAAGCCATCAATCAATGTTTGGCAAAGGCATTTTCCAATAATTCCATGAGTTAAAATCCTCCTGCACAGATTTGAATATCAAGGGCTTCATTATCAGATCACTTGTTTAAAGGGATAATAATTAACAAACGACATAAGCAGTAAAATAGAAACCGATCCTCTGTGCTCCTGCTTTATGAAATAAGAAGTCATCACCTGCTCAACTAAAGAAGTGGGTGGAAACATGTCATTGACCAGCGTGTGCAAGGAAGTGTACGACTTCACGTCGATGCAGTGGTTAATGGCCACTTCACCCTACCATTTTTTTTCGAGGAAATATGATTGGAAAAAGTATATACATATATATGATGTGTTTTGTAATAAAAACATAATAGGAGAGAAAAATAATACCTTAGGATTAATGATGAAAATTTTCCCTTTTGGGATCCCAATCTTCCTGTAACTGAGTTCATCAGTATCCCTATTCCCAAAGCCCGCATAAAATGGATTGTAGTCAGATGGAAACAGGGCTTTGATGTCCTGTCAAAATGAGAAGTAGCTAATAAGAAAATGGTCAAAATGATCGTGTTCGATAATAACAAGACTCCAGGGAATTGCCTCGACCAGTTGTGATACTTACCTCTAAACACGCAATCTTGAATTCATGAGGCGCTCTTCTTATTACTGTCATCAATAAGAGAAAGCAAATGCCAATTAGAGGAGCCACGTCAATATGGTGAGTGCATTCACACAGCACAAAACAAAAGCTCCGGGAACCTATTCCATCTCTCTCTCTCTCTCTCTCACACACACACACACAACCCCACGTAATCAAGACTCTCATTATTTGTCTGAAAACTTTATTAAGAGTTCAACATGCACTCTTGCTCTGGCAATATCAAAAACAGGTTCTGGAATATCGTCTGTGCCCTTCCTCCAATGGGTCTATGTAACTATCAACTTCTTAACAATTTATTTAATAGAGAAGGTTTTGCTGGAAGTATGGGGAAAAGGAAAAGAAAGTAGAAGAGGTCACCCACCAGCAAGGAGAAAGGGGGAGCAACAATGAAAAGAAAGCACCTAAAATGCCACTACAAAGGAAGCCCTGGACCGATGCACAACTTTAATACTTCATTCCTGACTAGAGAATCTTCTAATCCACCAGCTGGTAGAATCCAAAAAAGAAGGTGCTGCATTTTTAATTAGGAAAGAATTCTTCTATGGTCTGACCAAGGTAAAAAGGAATATCTGAATCATTAGCAACTCAGACAACAGATTTCTTCAACATCCATGTGGTAAGGATATTAGAAGCCCCCAAAATATTCAGACCAAGATCACAAGTCTCTGCCCTCTTGAAAATGTCTTCGGCAATTACCGCCAAGATGGCATAAAGAATCCTATCCTCCTCATCATTCTAAACAACACTTGTATCCAAATGGCCCAAATTCTGTATAGAGCAAACATCAGTTGTCCTTACAAGTTACAACCCCTTCATCCAGATGATCCAAAGAAACAACATTTTGGTGGGGTATCTCTTAGTGATCAAGTTTAACTACCTTCAGTCTCTGTGTAAAGTTACCTTCAACAACATTAAATACCACTTACATTCAGACAAAAATAGGATATAGCAACTTTAACTCAGATTAAAGTCAAGACCTTCTACTTTCTAAATAAGTGCACTAAAACTAATTTTTCTCTGGTAACAATATTATGACTCACAATAGGATGAGGATTTTTTTTATCAATAACGATAGGATGAGATTTCATACCCCCGAGTATTGAACAGCGACAAATAAATTTAGGGAGAACGATGATTCAGCCCAGGGTCAGAATTTGTACACTCAAAGTACATTTGGGGTAAGTGCCAGCTCAGAATTGATGCCAATTCACAGGAGGGTGAGTGCATAGAGTGTGGGTTTTTAGTCTTTTGAATGTTTATAGCTTTGCAATGGAAATCAGAAATCTGCATTGGGCCTGTCCATACTTCTCCAATAAATTTATTTAGATAAGGCATGTTCCCTTGTCAGTATGGTCAAAGGAGATAACTAAAGATAACCAACATATCTTTCATTAAGCAGGCTTAATTACTTCAGCAACCGAAGGCTGTAAGCATGCAACAATGAATAAACGGTTCATTGTGCTGAGTTGAGCATCAACTAATAGAATCCCATGCAAATCATAAGGTAGAAACTACCCTCTTGGTAACTAGAACTCACCTTCTCGGTACAATGAAGGAAACAATCCATCAGGTGAAATGACAACAGGCCCATTTGGTAAAGCTTTACCATCCTGGCAAACATGAAACATATAATCAATTTGTAGGAAAAAATAAATGCTGCAATTATTTTAGTATTTTTATCCTGTTCCCTTTCAGCTACAAAATAATTTACCAAATAAAATGCCAAGGAAGCATGAAATACCTAACATACTCTGGTTTGCTCAAATGAATACATATGAGATGCATAAATAACTAGAGCACAGATGGATATCAGGCTGAACAGACTGTTCAGATGGATACCTAGGATGGACAATGATTTGGTTGACAGTTGACTCCCTTGTAGGCAAATTTGTTCTTGAGTGAGGGGGACCAGGCCCAAGGTTACCATGCTGATTCATTTTTTTTCCCTTTATATCAGTATTATTGGTCAGCTCTATGCTGTGTAGTGTGCTACCACAAACTTGAAATCCTTTCATGTGAAGGGAGTTTACCTTTCTTCTCAACAATATTATTAATTGTAGAAAAAAAAATCTCTTTTTACTTTGTTATGATAAAAATGGAACAAAAAAAACAACTGGTGCAGAGCTACACTTGATGCAAACAAGGACTGATATGCCCTCACAAATAGCAGATCATAATTCCTGTCTTTCCAAAGGAATGAAGACCCCCCCCCAAAAAAAAAAAAAAAGAAAATACCAACACATCCACCATCCCAAACACAAAGCAAATAAGCATTAGAATAAAAACAAAAGGCAAGGTATATCACGACCTGTTTCAGATTGAGGAGAAAACTTCTGGTTAGGTATGCCTGAACAATTGCACGTGCACTAAGAAAAAGCAGTTGATAACCGTTTTCCTACATTTGAATACAGTCCAGAATCAGCTCCAACCTTTGACTGCAAAAGGGGACATGTTTGAAAAGAAATTGAACACCCATCAAATATGTTATGTTCTTACTATACCTAGACTGTCTGATGTAAAAGAGAAAATACATCAAACTTAAAAGAAGCCAAACTTTCCAGATAGCTAGAAAAGCTCATGTATATATTAATATCAAAACAAAGAATCTGGGAAGAGGGCTTCTCTCTTCCCTACAGAGAACTGTCAAACCTAAGCAGATAAATAAGAGATCTGTCTCAATGAGAGGTTGGGAAAGAGTAATCCAATTGGATGATCCTAATAATCAAACCTATCAGAAAAGAATTCATTAATGTTATATTTGAACTGGCAATGAGGCAAGTAAGTCCAACCCTGTCAGCAGGAGGTGATCAAGGTTAACCTGTTACCTGTTGGTATCTACTGTCATAAGAAATTAAAATAACAATTTAAGTTCAATCAGTGGTTCAACGGTATGCATTGACTGGTCCACCAATTTAATTAGTTGGACTGGTTTTCAATCCCCTAAGTCCATAACCACAAACACCCCAAAAGGCCATTACCCAATGTTGGCCCCAGCTAGTTGACATGAAGGAGTGGACTCCAATTACAGAATCCTACTTAATAATATTCTGTTTTATTTTTCCTCATTATTAATACAGTTCTCATGGAACTTTTAATGATTAAAAATCACTAAAAAGTTCACTAGTGATCTTTTCCCAAAAAAAAGTGGATTAAATATATGCAACTGCTAAAAAGAAGAAACGAACCAAGTTGTTTTTGCTATTGTTTAGGAACCCTGCAAGACAAAAGTCCTATGCATGAACCACCAGCTCCACTAGTTGTAGGACTAGTGTGGGTTTACAAAGAACTGGAATAAATTGTGAGGAAAAAAACTCAGTATATTTGTAAACTAATACTGGTAATGGACGCCAAAAAGAATAGACGTAGACTAAGCATACCTTAATGGCAGAGAAAAGTCGTGCTACCCCTGACTGTGTCCAATCCTTACCCACTAAAGGCATGAACTGGCCCAGGACGTCTGACCTGAAAAACATGCGTTCAAGTAAAGTCAAGGGCTGCACCAATGGCTCATTTTCACAAAAAGAACATTGTCATTTAACAAAAATGGAAGCACTTCAACTTGCTGCAAATGTGTCCTATAAAAGCTTAAAGCTCCAATGCACCTATGACTTAGAGAATGCTTCAAATATGCCCTAATAAAGCATACAGTCCCACAGTGTGACATACTAAGGATCCATAAAACTACCACACTTGAAAGACAAGTGCATATGGTTTGACCATTATGTGTCAGGAAGTGTGCTATGTGTTTTGGATGTTGTCCCCATCTTGGGTAGTTAAACCGCTTATATATAATTGCCTTAGGGGCCATTGCTTGGTGTAATGGTAAATTCTCGGGCTGACAAGCATGGAACACAGATTTGAGTCTAAGAGCAGCCACTATGTGCCAAAAAATGTCAAAGCTGAGATCTGTTTACAGTCCACCCTCCCTGGACCCAGATTGCCGGGACCAACATTGAGTAATGGCTTAAAAAAATTGAAAAAACAAAAAAAAGAAGTGTCAGACAATTGGTTGTGTCCTGATTTCTCAAGAACAATTTTGCCCACCTAAACCAATAATACCACCACTGATTATCCTTGTAAATTTGTTACAATTTTCTCCTCAATGTAAATAGCAAATTAAATGCTATTATTTGCAACATTTTCCCATCTCTTGTCTCTTTAAATTCTGAAATCCCACTCCTTCATTTTACCATTCTTGCACGTAGAGGATTTAACACACATCCTTCTAGATAGATACAAGAACAAATCTGTCAATCCTATCCCACAGGGCTAGTTCCCAATACAAACCAGTCCTGCCGGTTTCTTCCCTATTTAAAGACTGTGCTAGAGAATTAGCAGATCACTATACACATTTAAACAAAGTGTTCATGCTCCATGCCAAAAACTGTTACTCCATAAAAGAATGGAGGTAGAACCATGGACATGTTTCCTCATCCCTCATCCATCCAATTTTAACTCGGAAGTCTTAATAAGTTCTTTTAATTTACTTAAAAAAAAAACACTTGGTCTATTTCAATTTCCAAGTTTTCATATCTCAGTAATGATAATAGATCAGAGAGGTTCCAATGCCAATAGGTGGGCTATCAAGAAATGCCTTTCATGATTCCAGAATGCCCCTACCATCCTGGATTACCAAAACTGCAGCCATCAAATTCTGGATGTCTTATAGTTTACTTTTATGTCAAGTGACAATAGGACTCTTCAAAAACTTGATACAAGTTTAGGCCTTTCAGGTATGGAGTATGGAGAAACTAGCACAATGTCCAAATTGGAATTTCTTCAATTTTTTTATTTTTAGATAATAATAATGCTATGTGCTTATTAGAGAACCTGAGACTGATACACCAGGAAAAAAAACATGTGAAATCTGATAGGTAACAATAGAGAGCAAAGGGTTAATGCAAAGAAGTGATTCAGGAAATTGATACAGACAATTAGGAATGCAAATTAACTATTTAACTTGACAACTTGGCAAACAGAAAAAGAAACAGATTTGAATAGAGAAGGCAGATTAGAAGATCCAGGTGCAGGCATGACGTCTATCAAACCCAATAACAACCTCATGGTTTTTGTTTCACTACAAAAAATAATTTATTACCATACTGTGGATTATAGGTAACATTGTGTACATATACTGTGAAGTGTAAAATGGCCATGCTTGTAGAGCCACTACAAACGTGTTTTGGAAGGCCATCATTACAATGATACAAAAGATAAGAAAGAGCCTCATGCGGTCCATTTTTATTATCTTATCGTCAATGGCAATGTAGTCTAGGTGGTCAGTTGGAATCCCTACCATTAAGAACGCTTGGGTTTGAACCCACAGAAAAGCAGGCTATCTGCATTGTGTGAAACAGTTGGCCTCGCATGCATCCCTTCTACCCTCAGTGTTACATGGACTCTCCTAAATGGATATAAGTGTTTGTATTGGACATATTTTTTATTCTAACACTTGGATTCTTGAAGAACACTTCCACATGACATTTTTCTTTTTTCTCCTTGATTATTCAAAATATATGAACAGCCAGCCAATGCACACAATGAATATAGTTTTTCCTATAAAATGTTATTAAGTAACAAAGATTATCTTTTAGATCTTTTTCTGTTGGTTTATAATGTTAAAATCCAACAAAATATGAACAAATTTAAAAGTTTATACTTTTCTATAGATGCTTTTTTGGTAATAAATAAAAAGGAAAAATTGTTCATACTTCATAGAGAAGAATCCTTGTTTCTTTGTCTTGCCAAGTCAAGACTCCTAGGCATGCATCATATTCCGATTCCCATGTCTGTATCCATGTAATACTAGCTACCCTAACCCCACTAACCTGCTAACTACAGGTCTAGGGTATAGCCCTTAGCCCCTCTTGGGGCCAAAACCACATGGCCTACCACCAAAAAAAATAAAAAAAGAGCCAGGTATCAAGACACCTACTGATTCCCAAGCTTCCAGCTTAGGTTTTATTGTTTTTTTCCCACATACATATTTCTGCTTCAGCAGTCTCCTTGTATCTTTTGAATTTTTCTCACTAAATTTCAGCATTAAAAAAGGTACTGGCCTATTAGAGAGGGTGTGTTGCCTAGGAGTGATCATCAAAAAACCGAAAAATCAAACCAAACCGAACCGACGAGGTCGAATCAAAACTTCTGGTTAATCGAACCAACCGGTATACATATATTTATATATATTATATAGTTATGTAGTATATTATACATATTATAAATGAATATATATGCATTATATATAATATATTATTTATTATTTATAATATAATACTTTTATAAAAAATATATGTACATATTTATTTATAATATATTATAAAAATCAAAAACCGGAAAACCAACGAATCGAATCGGCAATTAACCGAACCAATCAACCAGTTAATCGATCAGCTTCGGTTTGGTTTCGGTTACTGGTTTTTTGACCAGTACTACCGGTTCAGTTAACCAAACTGTGAGCATTCCTAGTATTTCCCTCCATATAGTAATACAATAAACTGTTTTGTCGCCTTTGAAAAAAAAAACCTATTGCGGAATTCTAGCATCTGGAGTGTTTGCAGTCTTGCATGGACACTCCCCTAGATGGATGAAGTGTCTGTGCTGGACATGTCTCAGACTCCAGCACTCCATGGATTCTTGTGATACACTTAATATGATATTTTTCTTTCTCTCATTTCTTATTTCACATAAATGGACCATTAATATACACAATGAATGCCATTTCTGTGCAAAGTGTTATTAAGTAATATTTTAAAAACTTTTTTCTATAGTTTTATAATGTTAAAATTCAACAAAATATGGAATAATCTAATAGTTTATACTTTATACTTGTCTATAGACATGTCCACAAGTCCTTGTTTTTCGTATTGCCAAGAGTTGGACTCCCAGACACAATTACATTCTGATTCTCATGTCCATGTCCATGCAACACTGAATGCTCATCTCCTAGCCACAATTCATATGTCTAGGGTCCAAATCCATAAGCAAAACAGGTCCCTTTATATGATTTTTTTACCACATTGACATAATTCCTAGGCTATTAGGATCCATGACAACAATAACAGCAGTTCCTTCAAGCATAACCATGCATTAGGGCCTTATATGCTACAAAAACTTACCTGGTAATCGTCCCATCAACATCAGAGATAACTATTTTTGCATTCCACTTCCATAGGTAAATATGGGCATCAACCTATGAAAGGAGACAGTGAATAAACAGTTGGAAAGTATAATACACCAAACCCCTATTTATCATCCTAAAAACTACAATACTATACAGCAAAGATGAATGTAACCTGCTGGGTTCCTAGAACTCTGGTAGAGAAACTGAAGGTTATCATATTTTGACCTTCTTTCAGATTCAAGGAGGCAATCTGTTCAATAGTGGGAACATTTGTCCTTATTAACTGCTTGTGAGGAGACTCACAGTCACCACTGAATGTTTGGCTAGGCTCCACAAGTGCATTTTGCAAACCTGACTCTGAATCAACAAATATGTCTTCATTTGATAAGGTACTGTTTGTATGCTGGAGGGTTTTAACCCTTCTAAATGGAATTGGCCAGAGCCTCCACCTACGGCTAGAAGAGGTGGACATGGTTCCAGGTGCCTCATCCCTGGGATTCAGTGCCTCCTCCAGTTCCACAGGAATTGTATCTTTGGAAGAAATAGGTAAATCTAAACCAAATGTAGTCATTCCAACAATCAGAGGAGCAGCTTTATCCCATGGTAAGTATCTATCTTTATATCTGATAACAAGGTTTCCATTCTTAATGATTGATGCTGAAGAAGCTTTAAATTCTTCCTCAGATATGCGATGTGCATCAAAAACTTCACCAGCAGGACCCAACCCCATACCAGCACGAAGTAAATTCCCACATAGAGAGATCTCAAATCCTGTAAGCGATAAGCATGGATAAAACAGAATAATAACACATCAGAGTTGAGCAACACAAGAGAAGTCCATTTTCGTGATTGAAAATCACTTGGAGGTCCTTACCCATGCCTGAACCAGACGTTATCCCTTCAGCTGAAGGTTCAGAACTACCTGTTTCCATCTGATGTTGTGCTATCTTCCTTCTATTGCACACTTCTTCGGGTTCAGATCTTCCAAGGCCATTTTGTGTACTTTGATCTTCTCCTGCAAAACCAAACTTTTCATCTTTCCTCCTGGGATCACAATTTAAAGATTGGACAGCCATGCCATCTGAACTTTCAATTTCGGGATTGTCCTTGGAAGCCTCAATGTCGATGCTTAAAATTCTAGATTTCATGTTGTTGAGAAAATCTGAGCTAGGAGAAAAGAACTCAGCACCATTCTCAAATTTAAGATCACCGGTGACTTCACTCTGCTCTTCTGCTGAACGACTGGAAAGACTATTCTCTTCCAAATCTTCAGAGCCCTTTTTTGTCATCAATTCCATGCCAGGAGAACCTGCACCTTGTGAATCAACACCTCCAATACGTAAGGTTAATCTTGAAAGTTTCAAGTGGCTGCTGAAAATATCCTTCCTACTGATCCCACCAACTTCATCTCCTTCAATGCTATCAATATGATAAGTTTCTTGAGTTGTGATTACATCTACTGTAGAATCTTCACAAACTTCTGCTAAAATTCCATGAGCATTACCATTATCACAAAAAGGAGAGTTGCCTTCTGATGCAGTGTTAGGTACAGACCATGCATCGTCACTGGTACCAAAATCTTCATTACTTCCATTGAAGTCAGACCCTTCACCTGGACCAAGATGGAACTGTGGTGTACTTAATTGCACATTATCATTATCCATGGCCTCTTCTGATGAGATAGGAGCTGTCAGCACGTGACCATCAACACTCACCAAGACTACTTCTGAGTCAGAACCCTGAGACTCCACTACGTCTTCCACATGATCTAAGCTCTCATAGCTGTAAGCTCCGTAACCAGATGACTCAACAGAACCCCTTCCAGGAGATTCCTCGTCTTGGGGTTCATACGAATGCTTCTCATTATCAGATTCAATACTGTCAATTTGGTCCAAGTTTGACGAAACAGATTCAACAGAAAATTGTGCTACCTCCTCAGCAATGGATACAGTGCTCTGATTCAGAAAAATACTAGTATTGTCATTGTTATTATCATCATTCATGCCTCCATTGTCATTATTGTTCTTATCCAGTGGTGTAGCTTCAGAATCCTTAACAGAATCTTCGGTTTTGTTATCTTTGCCTGACACCACCTCTCTTATGAAATAAGCCTCACCCGAGTTATCAAGAAACATATGGAAACCGGCTTCAGTACCATTTACAGAGACGCGAACAATCTTCTCGGCACCTTTAAGAACACCTTGGAATTTACCAAAGCGAACATACCAAGGCGTGCTCCGGTAGGTTCCATCCTGCTGCTCGACGACAATAACATCAACAGCCCCGCCGAAAGGATGGAATGGGGTGGCAACGGAGTAAACACCTTGTGATATGAGGCTCCCAACCTTACCGACCACATTCATCTTTCCCGACTAACAACCAAGAAAATAACTTAGGAAAAAAATGAATACAAAAGCCTAAATAGAACCCACAAGTTTCAACTCTTCGCCTTCACATATGTGCGAAAAAATAAAATAAATTAATCTTTACAACAACCAGAACAACAGTAGAGTGCATCTTTTTCGTTTATTTTTGCTCGATTACAATTCCAAATTCTGCCGTGATATCTGCATGAGATATGAAATCGAATACGATTACGAGTAATTACACAAAATGAGCGATTAAATCAACAGATGAAACCGCGTCAGATAACAAAATCTAAACACAGATAATTACGTGAAAAAAGGATTAGCAAATGATCATTTTCGAATCAAATCGAAAAAAACTGATAATTGAAAACCCTACATTTTCGTATACAGACTTAGATAAATTAAACGAAACCAAAAAAAAACGGAAACGAAAGAAAACCAAAAAAAGAGGGAGAGAATCGAGGAGATATTGATTTCCATAGTCGTATATAGAATCAAAAAAAGAGTGCACTTACAGATTAAAAATGGCGGAATTCGGGCTCGAACGATCCCCACGGAAAAACATACTAACCTGATAGCTAATGACTTGGACGACTTTCCCGCTTGTTCCCCGTTTTTCTTTCATTTTCTATCTATGTTATATCTGTTAATCCCCCCTCCTTCATCAATACAATATGATCAGTCCGACTGCCCAAGGAAAGAGTAATAAATTTGGTATACGTCGAGTAAATCGACATTAAATACCCCTTCAGTGTGCTATAACAACGGACTTACGTTTATACTGACTTGTATATATTGGATGTCGTAAAGGGTATTTGCGTAAATGCGTATATATTCGAGCTATTGTGTCAAGTATTTATCGAATCTACGTATATCATTTTGACTCGTGGAAGACCACCACTGTCCAGTAAATTTCAAGTTTAAATTGACAAAATCACCATTTCAATAAATTAAATGCGAATCCTTCTACAGTCATTTGGCAAGAAAAAAAAAAAAAGAAAAAGTAAGGGCCCAAGAAAAGGGGTATAGAATTGGAATGGCCCATTTCTATAGAATTGCAATTATATTCTCATTCTTGATGAAATGGCATTTCTTTATTTGAGGAAATGGTCATTTCCTCCCATTCCTTTAAGAATGGAATCTCATTCTAATTTATTCCAATTTCCATTCTGATTCCAACCAAACAGATTATGGGAACGAATCATTCCAATTCTGATTCCAATTGCAAACGAAATGGACCCTAAATCTTTTTTGAGTCGAATTATGTGATTATTGCATATTTTTGTTTTGATAGGCTAACTTTCAAGATCATAAACAAGATCACGAAATATCATGCATGAATAAAATGATCAAAATATTTGTACTAAATGTCATTGATGAATTAAATGAAATGATCAAAATATTATGGGTTACTATTTATAAAAAGGGAAATTGTCAAAAACCCACCATCAGTTTTCAGCATTTCTCTTAAACTCACCACAACTTTTTAAAATATCTAAAACTCACTATGTCACTAACTTGACGTTAAAGAGACTAACGGCTGTTAATATATTACCATTTTAACCTTCATAGAAAAATATAAAATATATACATATATTTTAATATTTAGATATGAAAAAAAGGAAAAAGTTCAAAAAGTATTTTCAAATATAAAATACATAAAAAACACATAAATTTCAAAAATATAAAAAATTATAGAAATTGCACACAAAATAAAAAAATTATTTTTAAATTATAGAAACTATAGAAATTGAAAAACAAAATCAGAAAATAAAAATTATAGAAAAACACCAACAATTATAGAAAAACATAGAAATTTCAAATAAATGACAAAAATACAGGAAATTTTATAGATTGTAGAAAATAGAAAAATGTAAAAAAAAAAAACACAAATTATAAAAAACATTAGAAATTATAACAAAACACTAAAATGTAAAAAAAAAAAGAAAATTGAAAAATGAAAAAGACCATTTTCCTATAACTCGCCATTCAAGGGTGATTTGGTCATAAAATTTGTTATTTATGTTGATGTGGACACCTCTGTTAAGAAACATTAATGATGCACTAACAGAAGGTGAGTTTTGGAAAGTAAAAACTTACTGACATGGTGAGTTTTAGACGTTTTGAAAAGTTGTGGTGAGTTTAAGAGGAATGTTGAAAACTCATTGTGAGTTTTAGACAATTTCCCTTATAAAAATAAATAAACATTTGATGTAGGCGCACATGGCAATGCCCAGGATCGCACCATGTGGCATCGACCAGATGAGATCCTAGCCGTCCACCTCTAATTGCCTCCAATTACTCCATGGCAAGGTTAAGTATAAAAGGATGTGCCCAACTCAAGGTAAACCCATCTTACTCACTCTTGCTCTCTTGCATTCTTACTCTCAAGTGATATTGTCTGAGCTCTCGTCTCAAGCCTAGTATGACCCCTCTTAAACGCTTAACTAACTTGATCGTCGGAGTCTTCGCCATTAGGATAACACCTGGGGCCTCTGACATGTGCTCTCCTCTCACTCTCAAGTTAGACACATCGACCTCGGACAAAAGCAAAGTTATCTTGTTGCCCTCAGCCCCATCCTAGGCAGCAACAACATTATTCTTTTTAAAGCCAAAATAAACATTCTGATTTTATGAATGGAATGGTTGATAAATTAACTTTACATTGATAAATATAAAACATCCAATCCAATTTTAATAATATATAAATCATTTTCATGTAGATGTGAGCATATACATTAAGGGGTGTTCACAACATAAATTGTTTTTTGTTAGCCAAAAAAATGTATTGTATTTTTTGTTGGCTCCAAAATTAAATGAACACCACCTGATTTGAAAACAAATTATTTCTCAAAACAAAAACAAAAAACGATGTTATTGGTTGTGTATGTCTTTTTTGTTTTCAAAATTAAAACTAAAATATATGTTCTTAGACTTCTAGTTTCAAAAATATGTTCTTATTTAATTATTTAATATCATGTTCAATAAATCACATAAATTCTATTCCACAAATTTTGTTCTTTTTTTCTTGTTTCTAAAAACATTATTTTGATGGTTCTAAAAACATGTACTGGTTTTCAAATAAAATCACTTTTTCCTTTTAAAAACAAAGAAAATAAGTTCAAAAACATGTCTTTGCTTTTGTTTTTGTTTTTTCTTGGGGGGTTGATGTATTGGCAATCTAAATAGAAAATGAAAACAAAAGCATTCATGTTCTGGAACACCCCTTAAATATCTATATCTATATTATTATAAATAAAATATTTGCCTCGGGCTCCATGAAAATTATAAAGTTAAATCCAAATTCGTATACAATGTAAATGCTTACTTCCATTGCTCTTACACTAATTATTTAACACATTTTTTAGATTATGTTAGGATGAATTCATATGATCATATCCAATCCAATTTACTATGTGTGTTTGTTAGAGAGAGAGAGAGAGAGAGATTATCATTTAATTTTAAGGTAAATAAATAACATTAAGGCTGTGTTTGGTTTGAAGGAAAAAGTAGGGAAAGGAAGGAAAAGGTAGGAAAATCTATACAAAGTTTGTAAAGGTTTCCCTACCTTTCCCCACTTTTTCTTTCAAACCAAACATAGCCTAAGAGATAGCATTTGTACTATATTCAAAGGCAAGGATCTTTCTGGAAAAAAAAATGTGTGGAGGAAGCTGCATGGGGAAAATACTTGTCTCCTACAACGTTGGATTATATGCATCTACTATAGCCATTTTATGTGCTAATTTTAAGATTTATGGTTTAGAGTTTGACATTTAGGGTTTATAATTTAAGGTTTAGGGTGATTAGGATATAGTGACATGGAATTTAGGGTTTAAGAGTTTAGAGTTTATATTTTGGGTTTAAGATTTAGACTTGATGCTTGAAGTTTAAATTTTAGGATATAGTATTTAGATCTAAAAAAAATCAGAAGGTGGTAGTATACATGTCCTCAAAAAAGGTAGGAGCCAAGCATTACTTGGATATGAAAAACGACATATAATTGCATTTAACCAGCTAAGTATTACTTGAGAATATATTATTCACATACAGGGCTTAGTTTTGCCTTTTTTATTAAGAAAAAATGACAAGGCCCAAACCCAAGCTTGACCCTTATATAAGGCCCCAAGCCTAGACCCAAGCTTAAAGCTTGATTTGGACAGATATATTATAACATATTATTAATATATAGGGCAAAAGACTCGAACCACCCTTCATCTTTGACCTAAATACTAAAACCTCCCCTATCTTTTTAAAATGGACTTAAGCCTCCCCTCTTATTGGATAGGCATCCGTAGTAGAAAAAAGAAAAGGGTTCTGAGAATGAAGCAAGGACATTACAAGTCATGGATTTCACCTTAACCAATGGAATTCAATTTCCAGACAACTAAAAAGATATCCGACTCCCGCTTATTATTTTGGACTTTGATTGGTCTTATCATGCAACATAAATTGTGCATTAATAGTATTTATTTATTTATTATTATTTTTTATAGTTAAATAAAGAAACCACTAAAAAACATTAAGGATACATCTGCAATCCCTTCTTACAATTCACCAAAATATTCAAATAACATGGAGGGGGTTGTTCAAAAGTAACAAAAGAGTTTGACTGTGTTGCTTTTCTTTTGCCATCATATGGGCTATTACAAGTTTACAACATCATTCCTATTTACATATAATAAGGTTATATATCATGTTTCCTGGCTTCCTTTCAGCTTACCCAAAGCCACTTTAGCATCAGAAAATAACACACCTTTTCCCAACTTGTCAAAAGGAGTTTTCTCAAATCTTTAATTATAGTCCAGATTTCAATTTCAATGGCCACACAACATCTTGGTTATGAGTAGAGGTATAAATTGAATCATGCCGCCTACGGCCTAACACGGTTCGGCCCGAATTTGGATCGGCCCAGTACGATGGCACGTAGGTCGTGTTGGGCCTGGGGTTCTAGGTTTACGGGCCGGTATGGCTGTGCATGTCGTGCCGCTTGTCAACTCGCGGGCACATAGCAGGTCGCGCTCGGCCCGCCCGATGAATTAGCCATTGGGGGGGTCCCCAATGTCTAGTTTCAATTTTTTGGGGGGTTTACAAAAATACCCCCAATGGCTATAAACAACTTATTTATATATTTTGGTTTAGGGGAAAAGAATGACACAAATGCCCCCAAATAGCTATATAACAACTAGTTTGAGGGGCATTTTGAGTAAAGTGATAAATAGTTTTACAATGACCAAAATACCCCTCCCAACAACTAAAAAATGGTTAGTTTTGTAGGGTATTTTGGGAAATTGAATTATTGTCAATTCCTATAAATAGCCCTATCCTCCACCATTTTCATCACACCAATTCAACAATTCTCTTAATCTCTTCTCTAGTTCTCATACTCTCTCAAGTCTCAATATCCCAATCTTTTATACATTCTTTGGCTCCAATTCTTAATTTTATTGAAGTTTCAACAATAATAAGTCTTGCTCAATAGCTCAAGTATCTCAAGTTGGCAAATTTAGAGACTTGGACTCTTGGAGTTGAAAGGCTTCAACCGTTGAAATCAAGTTGGGATTCCGAACTGACAATCCGGGTAAGTGCAATTAAATTAATTTTTATTTTTGTAGAATTTAAAAAATGGTCGGCTCCTCCCGAGACCAATTCCCCAACATGTCCAATGTTGATGATATCCAGTCGCAGCATTGTGGTATTAGCACCGATATGGATGCTATTAATATTA